GGGGCAGGTCACACTCAGGGTACCAAATGAATGGGCCTCGAGCTGGAGAAAAACAAGGACAAGCCAGAGAGACCCGAGAGAGGGCAGCCAGGCCAGGCCCCCGCCCACTAGCACGCCTCGTGGGACCCGGCCTCTACTCACCGGCTGTGCGGGGACCCAGGTTTTCCGCCAGGCTGGAGCTCCTGCCGCTGAGCCGTGCTCCCCTGAAGCGGCGGTGCTCTCAGCCGGGGCTCCTGGGGCGGGCCAGCCCGGCACCCCGTGATGGGGCGGGGCCCCTGGGGAGGCTCCTTCCAGCCCCTGGATTCCTCAGGGCCGCAGGGGCGGGGAGCTGGTTGGGCCGGTTCCTCTCCCTCCTCCCTAGGTGCCTGCCTGCACCCCTGCAGGGTGACAGTGATGTGGTAGCGGGTCCTCCTGGCAGAGGGACGCGTGTGTGGGGCCTGGGCTGGCTCTGATTGCGCCGGCCTTGGGGTGTCGGGCTCGCCCTTTGCCCCTTCTGCGGTGGCGAGGGATGCGGGGCGGGGCGCCAGGGGCGTGTCTTCCAGGTCGCCGGGCGGCTCCAGTCTCGGCGGGACCTCCGAGGCTGTGCCGGGGGCTTGCGGGTAGGTGCAGCCCAGGGATCCCTGTCCCTGATGTGGAGGAGCAGGCCCCGGGTGTGAGGCGGGCCTGGCCCCCGTGGGCCCCTCTGAGGCCGCGGCCAGCGCCAGGCTCTCAGACCCCAGGGGGGCATAGTGGGCCAGGTCAGAGGCGCTGCCCACAGCTGGCCTCTGTAAGCGCCCCAAGTGCTGAGCGGTTCTCCCAGAGATGCGTCCTCGCTTCCGAATCCAGAAACCACCGTGGCTGTGGACCCGAAGATCCCATTCTGAATGGCTCTGGGCTTGGACCTGGCAGAAAGCAGAGGCAGAGACTTAATGAGGGCATCTCCCCTGGCCTCCAGGCGTCCCTGGGTCTCCCTGGCTGTTGTCATTGGCACAAGGGAACCAAGCAGGGCTCTGACACCAAGCTGTCAGGTCACTAGAGCTGAGCAAAGGGGCAGGGCTCTGGAGAGGCCCTTAAGCATTTAACATGTTCCCACCCTATGGGAGGAAAGTGACACCCAGGGAGGACATGACTAGGGTCACACAGCAAAGAAATCTCAGGCACCACTTTGCCTCCCAGGAGCTGGGGCACCGGGCCTSGCCATGCCTTCCAAAGCCTCAGTGCTGCCTTACTTGCCTTCCCAGCAGCCTCCGGCCTCCGGCCCTTTGGCACATGCTAACCTTGGGATTAGGGGTTTCGTGGGCTTGCCTGCCTCAGTGCCCGTGGCCTCTGCCTGCTCTTGGCTACCAGAAGCCTGAGCCACTTCCCTTTTATCCTCCCAGCCTAAAATTCCCACAGCACACCTGGGAAGAGGTACCTGGGCATAAGATAAACCAAAGACATGATGGGGAAAGGAAGAGGGTTCCCTTGAAGCTGGAATGATCACCTGGCCTCTGTCTGCTCTTCCCTAGTCCTGCTTTGARATGGGAATGAGAGGAGAGAGAGCTCAGGATTCCAGACCCATATGGACACCGGCCCCAAAATTACCAGTTTTCAAACATGGGCTTGTGTCCTTGGTAATAAAGGAACAAGATCTGGGGTAAAAATTCCTCCTAGCAGGGGCTCTTGGTCTCAATTGCTTTAGTTACTCAGCTATGAAATAGATGCAGCYGTAGCACCCCAAGGACTGGACACCTCGGGAGAGCAGAGTAGAACCGTGTGATGGCCTGGGTGGAGGTGTCCTGGGCCTGAAGCCCAGCTCTGCTACTCACTAACTAGTTTCCCCGTGTGTAATATGGATGTGATATTAATAGCACCTTCCTCCTGGGAGTGCTGTGCAGATTGTGCGAGATAATCCGTGCAGAGCACCTCACATAATGAGTGCTCATTTAAACACTAGTAATTACTCGTGGTACTGAGGACCAAAGAGAGCCCTTAGCTGCTTGAGCCACCTCCAGAGGAGGCTGCCTCTGTTCCTCCAAGAACATTGGTCATGTCCAGTTCATGACTTGGGTCCCCTCTGCAGAGGGGACTCTGACCAGAAGGTTAAGCCACAGGCCCAGTGTCACTTCTAGGTGGCTATGCCAGGAAATAAGGAAAAAGAGGAGCTAAAGATATGCAGAAGTCAAAGAGCTGGGAGAAGGGGGTTCTGGAAACAGGATCTGTCTTTCCATGCCTCTCCCAAGGATCCCATTATTAGGAAGCACATGTGTCCTGAGCATCCAGGCCCRTTTAGGATTTTCACATCCATTTCATTTCTCCCCAAAGTCCTGAGACAGACATTATTGTACCCATTTTGCTGATAGGGATATGGAAGTTTAGAGGACGGAAAGAATCTGCCCAGGGTCACACAGTGAATCRGTGGTAGAGGAAGTACTGGAACTCCAGTTGTCTGACTTGTAAGTCAGGGTTCTCAGCACCTGCCCAGCCCTCCCCAAGCTTCTGTCCCCTTCCTCCCTCCCCTATGGGTCCTGTCCTACCTTGAGGCTGACATCGCTGGTGCTGCCCTGGCCCTGGGCCAGGTCAGGGCAGCTCTGGCCACCCCAGGGCCTAGGAAGGAAGCACAGGGGAAAGGAATGGAGCAGCCTCTCCCGTCCCAACACCATCACCTCTGGCCTGGGCCCAGCCCTCTTCCCCACCATCTCTCAGAGCCCACAACCTGCTAGGATGAGCCCTCAAACGTCTCAGCCTCCCTGGCTCTCTCCCCCAGAGGCAGAGAAAGGGATAGCTTGGGCTGGGATCAAAATGAAGCCTGGGCCTGTGTCAGGGCCAGGATGAAGAGAGAGATCAGAGCCCAGATGACCCCAAAACTCCACCTTTGCCGAGGTCCTTGTGTGCCAGGCTGGGCTCTAGGTTTTGTGTCTGCATAATCACCTTTGAGCCTCACAATAATCCTAACAGGTGGATGCTTAGGTGGTGCTCTCATTTTTCAGACAAGGAAATTGGGGCCCAGAAAGGCAAAGTGACTTGCTTGGAGCCACACACCTAGTCTGATGTGGAGTTAGGCCACCAGGTTTATCCCACTCCCAGTGTTGGTTGGACATTACCACACGAAGGGGGACAATATGGGGAAGTGCTTTTGTCCTTCCAGACCCCCTCTCCGGGTAATCTGCAGGATCAGAGGCTTGAGCCTCAGTTCAGGGTCCCATTCTCACGGCTGAGAAGAACTGATATAAGTGTACACGTGGCATGTGTCATCACACTGGCCCTGCAGCCCATCCCCTGCCCTGCTCAGTCCTGACTCACCTGCATCCCAAGCCAGCCTCCTCTCCATGGGGAGAAGCAGAGGGAGGCCTGCCCGAGACTATAGGGCAGGTTTCTGCCAGAGAGAGTAAAGGGAGAGGGTGTGTCTTCCAAGTGGGCAGGGCAGTAGCCAGGTGTGGGCACCTCAGGGCACTCAGGCTYCCAGGCATAGGGTGGCTGGGCCCGCCTCTCCTCTCCAGGGTGAGAGAGCAGTACAAGCCCCTCCCCTTATTCTGCCCCACCACGCCCTTACCCCTCCTGGGGCAGGCCAGAGACAGCTGTGTCATGATAAGATCAGAACAAATTGCCCAGTAACTGCATAGACACACAAACACCCTGTGCCTGACAGCACACCCTACGCTCCTCTCGGATGTGGACCTGTAAGCTACTAGGGCTCTCTTGGATTTCCAGTATTGGCCCAGCCATTGCGCTCAGCAATGGTGTTTTCTTTCCACTCAGACAGCTACCACGAATGGGCTCAGAGAGGTGAATTGACTTGCTCAAAGTCACCTGGCCAGTGACACCCAGAGTTTGGAGCCTGGGCCCCCTGGTGCCAATCCAGCAGTCTCTGCAGCACCAGAGCTTCAGGACAGACTTGAGCTCTAGAGTCTGGCTGCTGAAGTATGTATCCCAGCTCCACCACTTCCCAACTGTGTGACTTTAGGCTAGTGACTTCACCTCTATGACCCTCCATTTCCGGATTCGAATCACAGGGAATGCCTGCTTTATAGACCTGCCAAGAGGATTACACTGAGCAATCCAGGTAAAGTATGAAGCAAGGGACGGATAAAGGTTTATTGTTATTACAATCTAAAGCTATCTCCAGGTGCAGGAATGACAGGGGAAAACCTGTTGGAGTGTCTAAGGGCAAATGCCACAAACCTGTCAAAACTCATGACAAAGAAACACAAAGAACAGGAACATTGGCCAGCGATGTGAGAATCAAAATCCACAGCGGCAGGAGGAATTGAACATTTGCCTTTAAACTATCTCTGGGGAGGAAATCCTGTGCAGGTGCCCACCTGGTTTAGGAAATTGTCAGTTGTTTTACAGTTTTAAAGGACCCAGGGCTGGGGCTGGGGTTGAAGCTCAGTGGTGGAGCATTTGCCTGGCATGTGTGAGGCACTGGATTCAACTCTCAGCACCACATATTAAAAAAAAAAAAAAAAAAACTGGGATGTTCCACATTCACAGATCCCCAACTGTGGCACATCCACACATATGTTTGTATGCTCTGAGACGTTCATACACGCTTATTTGAACACTCATTACACACACACACACACACACACACACACACACACCTGCCTGGGATGCCCCGGCAGGCCTTTCTCCATCTTCCCTCACCTATCCCGGGATCGGGCCTCCTCTGAGGTCTCCTTCCCCCTGCGTTCCCTTCGGACCCCTAGTCCAGCCAGCAGGCGGGCCAAGTGGGCTCCCAGGCCCCCGCGCCGCTCAGTCATGGCGGGGCCAAGGCCGGGGAACTGGACCGTGGGGCGCTCGGCAGCACCCGGATCCGCTGCCTGGGCGGAGAAACGCCTCCRGCCCGCCCCCCTTAGCAAACAGCCGCTGGGCCCGCCCCGGGCGGGGACCTGACCGAGGTGCAGTCCATGCCCTGGGGCAGGGGGTGACCTCTGCCCAACCCCCGGGACTCTGGCTGTGCGCCACCCCACGCGCAGCCCCTGCTCTCTGCCGGGTCCGCACTGTTTCTTCAGGCCTCGGGAAGCACCGGGGCAGAGGCGGTGTGCGCATTGGAGGGGCTGGACCTGCACCAGGTGGGACAGGGAAGAGGAACCTGCGGTGAACAGGGGCCGGGAGGCGCGGCTGAGCAAGGGGCATCCCAAGGCGGGACCGGCGTGGGGCGGGGCGGGGCCGGGTCGGAAGGGGCGTGGCCTTGTCGAGTGGGCGGGGCCTAACCAGGGTGCTGGCCGGCCGGCTTAGGGCCAAGGGTGCGAGGAGTTGGCTTAGACCCCGGACTTGCTCTACTGGTGGGGCCGAAGCCCACCTGCCGTGGCCCCTCCGTGGTGGGTACCCTGCGAAAGCACTCTCCCTTTCGGTCCTGGAGCTGCCTGTGACACAGCGCGGACCTCCCTCCGCACCGCGGCGGGAAAGCCACTCGGAAACCCACGACTGGGGCCGCGACTGGCGCCCTCTGCCGGAAGTCGACCAGAGAACCCGTCTGTGAAAATTTGYCTTTAGTAGTGGCCTTAGTTTATGGTGGCTATAAACTGGGCCTACTGCCTCCTAGCCTGTGCCCTTCCACACCTGACCCTGCCTGTCTGACTCACAAGGTGAGGAACACCTTGCACAGTTGACAGGATCCCCGGGGACCGCAGGGGAGGAAGGTTATCGAGAGGGCCCCAATTCCCCAGGCTCTCTTTGATAGTTCTTCTGGCCTGCAGCCCTACCCTGCGTCCACTCCTTCCCTGAACTCGCCTCTCGCTTTGCCTTTGCCCTCTGTGGTGACTGGTCCTGGTACAGAGGGGACATCAAGTTTTGGGTCATGAGTGAATAGTGATGCCAAGCTTGGTGGTGCACGCCTGTAATCTCAGAAGCTCAGGAGAGGCAAGAGAATTGGGAGTTCAAAGCCAGCCTCAGCAATTTAATGAGGCCCTAAACTACTCAGAGAGGCCTTGTCTCTAAATAAAATACAAAATAGGGCTAGGGATGTGGCTCRGTGGTTAAGCGTCCCTGGATTCGATTCCCAGTACCACTCCACCCCATGACCGCCCTCCCCAAAAAAGGTGGACAGTGATATCTTGGAGGAACAGGGAGTGCCAACTGAGAGGGCATGGTGGTTGAGTAGAGCTGTGAGATTGAAAGGTGGTTGGAAGCAGCAAAGGAACATCTGGGCAGGTGTTGGAAATGCTGTTTGGAAAGGATGGCAAAGTGCCCCTTGCTGGGCAGGCAGCATGGTCTGCACCTGGCAGAGTCCTGGAGGGCTGGACTGTCCATCGGTGAGTTGAGATGGAGGGCTTGGTTCCATCTAGGTCATAGACCACGAATGGAACCAAACCTAGCCCGAGGTAGATGGCTTCAGGAACCCAGCCTCTTTGCAGTTGTGTCCCCTGACCTGCTCCCAGGTGAGATGTGAGATGTAAGATCTGGTGAATACATGGCGACTTCCCCCGCCACTGGAGAAATTCAGGAGGCCCCAACTCGTCACTGAGAAAATCCTTTAATTGCTTTGCCCCTGCCTATTTCCCAGGGCCATCCTGGTGCCACCACTCAGGCTAGCTACCCTGGCTTTCCCTGGGATGCTGAGGACACCTTGACTTTGTCCATGTCTCAGGCCGTTTGTCTGCTTCTCTGATGGTGCCATTACAAGATCTAGTGCTCCCTGGTGCCAATGGGCAAGGCAGGAGGAGAGAGAGGCCAGGGGCAAGTGGGTGTGAAAGAGGTCGCAGGGCTGGGGCTTGTGTARCCAATGGTGCAGCTTCAGATGAATGTGCTGGGCGGAGCGACTTGGGCAGACACTGCATTGGAAAGGCGGGGCTCTGGAGTGCAAGCGCAGGTGGGTCTTGAGGTTGCTGGAACTGCTGAAGCGCTTGTGGCACATCTGATGGGAATGGCACTGGCATCAGCCCTGGCCTTGGGCTGGCTCAGGATGTCTCTCCTCCTCCCCATCTTGAAAACACCCTTTTCTACCTGCCTCCCTGTCAATGCAGGGTTGGAAGACTTCCCTGGTGATTTCTCCCTGGAACCCACAGTATCTGGCACATTAGAGCCAGGCAGAAAGGGGGTGGGTGTTCTTCTTTACTTCCCGTGACTCCTCTCTAGCCTTCCTCTCGGTATTGGTAACATATGACTAGTAACTCCTAACCTCATAGTTAGGGGAGCTTGAATGAGTTAATCATACAGAACCCTGTGCGTGAGGCTGCAGCATCAGTGGATGTAATTAACATTTACTGGGGGCTGAACATGCCAGAAATTGGTCTCATAGAGTCTTCTGGAGGAGTGTAGTTACACTTCTAGGGAAGTGTAACTAGGTACTAACACAACTAATGAGAAAGCAAAGGTTCAGAAGAGTGAAGCCCCTATCCAAAAGTCACACAGCAAATTGGAGGAGGAGCTAGGATTTGAACATAAGTAATCTGATCCTGTAGCCTAGACTCATAGGCTCATCTCTGCCCCTGTAAAAGGAGGAGAGAATTCCTGCTCTCTGACCTCGCAAGGGATGGGGTTACACATGAAGGAGGGACCTACACTGATCAACAACCCTGGGAAGTGGGTAACGGGATGCATTCTCCAGGACCCAAACTTGACTTTTCTCCCTTCACAGACATACATCTCAACTCCCTCCTCCAATTTCATTCATTCCAAGATGACAGGGCTCAGACTCATCCTGCCTTAGCTCCCTTCCCTAGTCCCAATGCCCCACTTCCTTTCATGTCTCTTTTTTTTTTTTTTCAGGGGCCTGAAGAATGGAGGCCCAGGTGCCACCCTCCAGGGCCTAGCATTGCTCACCAGGCTACAGGAGTACAGGGGAGGGGAAGAGGGTCTCACCGCACACTCGTGGGGTCGCTCCCCAGTATGCACCAGGTAGTGCTTCTGCAGGTGGGCGAGCTGAGTGAAGCTCTTCTGGCACAGGACACACTGGAATGGACGCTCCCCGGTGTGCACACGCAGGTGGACCTGAGCCAGGGGTGGGATGATGCTGCCCAGAGCCCCCAGCATGACCTGGGGTCCTCTCCAGACCTCTTCCCACATCCCCACAGGACCCCTTGTTGGCATCCAGGCCTCTCCATCCCCTTGCCTCCCCATCACCTCCCTCAGAGCCTGTCAATCACTCCCAGATATTCCCACTGCCCTGCAAGGGAGATGGCAAGGAAAAGGAGGTCAAGTAAAGAGTAGCCCAGGTGTCCTGGAGCCCTGCTGCTCAGGTATGATCCACAGACCAGTGGCATCAGTATTGCCTTGGGAGCATGTAAAATGCAGATTCCCAGCTCCTCCCCCCACCAGCCGTGCTGAGTCAAAAATCTCAAAAAATCTGCTGGCCTGGGAATCCACAGGCTTACCAGCTCTCCAGGTGAATTGAGGCTGGTTAAAGTTTAAGAACTCCTGCCCTAGAGGATCCAGCAGGGCTGTTCCCCAATAACCACTACTTTCCTCAACTCCAGTGGATGCCAATCTGGGTTTTTTAACAGAGATAGGGCCATGTGCGCCCCCTGCTGGAAGATACAGATAATGAGCACCCCCTTGAAAAATGTTGACTGTCAGGTCTGTGGTATAGACTCACCCAAATCTACCCATCCCTCATCTGACCTTCAATAAATAAACAGTCTTAACTGGAAGTCCAGAAAAAAATGGTTGTCCAGGAAAGGGCTTTGCATTAAGTGTTGAGAGACTGCTGTCAAAGCTAACCCTCGCATTGCGGTACAGTAACTTTGGAAAACCCTGCTCACGGAGCCTCATTTTTCCTTGTTAACAGAGGCAGACTTCAAGGGCCAACAGGATTGGGTCGACCATTTTATGCTGTGTCTCCACCTGGACAGATGAACAGTTCCAAGGTCACATGGACCTAGAGGCTGCCCAGGAGTGCCTTCCAGCTTTCAGGTCCTTGATTTTAGAACCCGGCAGATTTCTAGAATCCTCCCTGAGAGACGTTAAGGGGAGGTTAAGGGGCATGGGAGGGTTGAAGGGGCAGCAGAGCCCAGGAGGCAGATACCTTGAGGTTGGAGAGCTGCCCGAAGCTCTTGCTGCACACATTACACTCATACAGGATTTTGCCGTTCTCTTTCTTCAGCGGGTAGGACAGCCCTGCAGTGCCTTCCCTGGAGCCCAGAGGGATCCGCTTTGCTGGAGCTGCCACACCAGCACTCCCCATCCCCAGGGAGGAGGTTTGGGCAGCTCCTGGGTCTTGATCCTTAGCCTGGGAGGGCAGGGTTTGGCCAGAGGCTTGGAGGGCCCCAGGGTGCAGAAGCAAGGTCTCCCGCTGGGGACTGTAGTGCCCAGGATCATTGACTGTCCTCAGCAAGCAGGATGCAGCCACGGTGGAGTAGGAGGTGTCTTGGGGCAACATGAAGAGATGGGGACATTGGACAGAAGGTAGGGCCCCATAGGTGAACAGGTAAGGTGGAGGCAGGARCAGAGGGTACCCAGGATAGAAGGGGTGGAGGCTGAGTAGAAGCTCCTTGGAGATGGGGGTGAGAGGAGGGCAGGGGCAGAAAACTGAGGGACCAGGACTYGTTCCATTCAGCCAGAGGGTCGGGGAGGAGCTGTTGTGAGGAGGGAAGAATGGCCCCTGGCCAGCTCTTTCTGGCTGGTTGCCCATCTCATTCCTGCTCAGGTGGTACTTGGCTGCAAGTTTCTCATCATCGGTGGAGATGGCATGCAGCCCCAGTGGCGGGTGCCCTGAGCAGAAAAGAGAAGACTGTGAACCCCCACAGCCTGGAGTAAACGTCTGTCCCACATCAGACCTGCCCAGTCCAGGGCTGTAAAAGAACTCCGGCCTGTAAGCTGGGTGGAGCCCCCTGGGCAARGCACCTCTCCCTTCCCCAGCTATTGCACTTGCCAGTGAAAGCTGCTYGCATTCCTGTTGACAATTTCAGGGAGAGAAAACAGTTCAAGAAGCCTGACAGATATCCAGGGTAAGAAGTCAAGTGCGCAGTTGGATCAGCTGGTTTGTGGTTGAAAGGAGAGGGCAGGGCCTAGCTGGAGACAGAACTTGGGATGCCAGGGGTTCAGATGAGATCACATAGGGTAATGCCARATCTGTGTCCAAAGTGGCAGCTGCTGGACCCATGGGACTAAATTGACATTAAAATAAAATTTAATAAAATATTCAGCTCTTCACTTGTACTGGCCACATTTATTTTTATTTTATTATATTAATTAGTTAATTAATTTTATAAATAAATAAATTAACTGGAACTTGAACCCAGGGGTGCTTTGCCACTGAGCCACATCCCCAGCTCCCCCCCGCCCTTTTGTTTTTAAATTTCGAGAGAGTCTCATTAAATTGCTTAGGATCTTGACAATTTGCTGAGGCTGGCCTCAAATTTGCAATCCTTCTGCCTCAGCCTCCCAAGTCACTGGGATTACCGGCATGTGCCACTGTGCCTGGCTGTACTAGTCACACTTAAAGTGCACAGTGGGTTATACTATTGAGTGGCATAGACATAGACTAGGCCCGCTGTCATGAGGAGTCCTATCAAAAAGTGCTATTCCACATGAGAACAGGAGAGGGAAAGAGAGGAAAGAGAGGATGGGGGAAAGAAGATGGGAGGAGAGGATGGGGAAGACAAGAGAAGAAGGGAAGAGGAGATGAAAGGAAGAGGAGAGGAGAGAAGGGGAGGACTCTAGATATGAAAATATTTAGGAGGTAAGTAGAACAGCTAGCAAGGGAAACCGAGATACAATAGGTTAAGAAAAAGGCACAGAGGGATAAAAAGTCAAATGTTTGGGCGGTAGGTAGAGCTCAGTGGTCRAGCGCTTGCTGGGGCCCTGGATTTCCCCAGTATGGAAAAGAAAAGAGTAAAAGACTAAAAAGAAAAGAATAGTTAAAAGTGGATTCTCCAGTTGGATCCTCACTTATTCACTCAGTGGACTTGGCTGTGCTGTCTGTCTCTGCTTTGTGCTGGGATCCCAGAAATAAAGGACACAGAAGGAGAGTCCCTGCCCTCTGGGAGGTCTTAGTCACATAAGGAAAGGATGTATTATCACAAACCGAGAATGTAGGCAAAAATGAGATCAGCTTTTATGAATGAAGAAACGGGCCTCAGGGATGTGCACAAAGCCACGGAACTAGAAAAGGCAGAAACAGGACCCTAAGCCCTGTCTCCCAGCCCAGGGTTCTTATCTTATAATTGACTCCTCTAGTTCAAACTCTAGGCAGACAAAGCTCTTCCCCCATGACTTCAGCGACACCAGCTCAGTACACCCCTCTGGCTCAGGTATCACCACCTGGGAAGTCCCTGCAGCTGCAGTCAGACCCACAGGGCAAAACCTGGAAGTGTGCCTGAGGCTCTGTCCTTACCAGTGACCAGAGTCCCCTCCCCTCCCTTGCCCCACCCAGCCATCCCCCAAGGTGTAGCCCAGCGGAGTCTCTGACTCACTCTGGCTCCRGGAGTCCTCTAAGACCCTGAGGGGCTGTGCCTAGGGATGCTGTCTGCAGGGCACACAGATACAGGCCCTGGTGGCAGGCCAGCAGGGCAGATCCAGCTGGTGCCAGCGGCAAGGGACACATCCAGCTGGCAGAGGACAGGCCTCAAGCATCCACTGTGCCTAGAAGTGGCCCGAAGTTCAAGAAGACCCGGAGGGCAAGGGGCTCTGAGACTGGTGGCTGGGACTTGGGGGTCTCTTGGGTGGTCCCACCTCTAGTTTGGTTTCTGAAGAAGCTAAGACCTGCCACCCCACATATCTGTCATTCAAATTGTACCCCTTTCTTCATCCAAAGGACTTTCTCACCCCCTGCAAGACTGTCCTCCCCTCCCCCACCACCCATCTGTTCTCCCTCCCCGCCCCCTATACCTGACCACCCTGGTCCCTGGTGTATTTCAGATCATCTACTCTTTGTTTTAMATGGAACCAAGGTGAACTTGGGGAAAATTCTCATCCAAGACTGTAAGCACTACAGTATGGCCCTGAGCCCTCTCCCACTAAAGCCCAAGGCCATGGTCATACCAGCCAAGCCTTCTGCATAACCTTTCTCCTTTTTATTGCCACAGGAGGGTCTGGGTCCCTATGGCATGGACACAGGGTCTTGAAACTTCAAGGGCATATCCCCATGATGTGCCTAGAGGAGGGGACACTCAGGACCAAGGAGACATTCAGACACTTCCACTTCTTCCTMATGTCACCTCCTTTCATCAGCAGACTGTCCTCAAAGAGAAGGCTGGGACCCCATCCTACCTGATGGCCTTGGCAGAGCTAAAAGTCAGCCAGGAGACTGGGAACTCCCCTTTCCCGGCAGGGTCCTGGTCTTGTGGCAACAACCCAGTTGTGCAGCTGATTTTCCCCTCATGCCCCACCCCCCTACCTACTGGAAAGACAGGTGAGTCAAGGTGAGCCAGAAAGGTACTCCAGGAAGGTGCCTGGGTTCTAGGACTGGCTCTTCCACCAACATGCCTTGTGACCATGAGCAGATCACTTTCCCTCCTGGTCTCAGTTTCCCTATCTTCAAAATGGAGCGTTGGCCTGGTTGATGTGTAAGGGTTGGTGCCGACATTTAGAAGCCAGTGATGCTCTCCTGGTAGGTGCAGAAATGGCATTAAGTGCAGACTAACCAATGAGAAGTGAGAAGCAGAGGTGGCTTGAGAAAAGAGAGGGAGATCCTCATGGAGGTTCCTAGGGAACATTTGGATTCCTCAGGGCCACGGAGAATGGAGGCGCCACCTCTTTCCATGGAGAAAGGGCAGGGCTGGGGATGCAGCTCAGTTGGTAGAGTGCTTGCCTCGCACGCACAGGCCCTGGGTTCAATCCCCACAAAAAGGGGGGGTYCCCTCCATCCAATTTCACCCAGATGGCTTTCCTGGGCAGCTGCGGAAACCTCAGGGTCCTGTCACCCAAACTGCAGCAGGCAGATCCCTCAGCGGACAGGAAACCTGAGAGAGGGAGTCCAGGTCCTCAGGAACCCCTGGCCGCCTGACAGGAAGAGGCCCTTTGCACAGCCAGGGCCTCTTCAAGGCCAGAGCTCCCCTCGAAGGCCCCCAAGACTGCTTCCTCTCAGTGACCATCCTCCCCTTTAAGTCCAAAYGCCTCTCAGACCCTAAAGCCCTCCCTCCAGTGTCTCAGCCCTCCAAAATCCCCTTTCCTTTGCCTCTTTCCCGACTCCTCCCCAACTTGCCTCAGGTTTCAAAACAGGTACAAATACCTGGCCAGGCAGCCATCCTCTGGGGCTGGGGAGGGAAGAGGTGGGCAGGCAGGCTGCTGCCGTGGCTGAGGCCCCAGCAGGTGTGAGAGAAGACAGGAAGATGCTACATTTGAAGTTGCTTCAAAGAGGAAGAGGGGGGCAGGCAGGCCTGGGGGCCTGGGAGACCTAATAAGGGGGATCCTCCCCAAGCTGTACCTCCCAGTGGTGACTCTACAGGATGACTCCGTGGGATTTGGAATGCAGCGAATTGAGCTACTGGCATTTCAGTGTGATGTGTAGTGGGTGCTAGAGGTGCTAGCTCTGTTCTCAGAGAAACTGGATGGCTGAGAAGAAGGACAGACCAGGGCTCAAAGGCAGAAGTTGGGGTCCTTCTGGGGATGAAGGCCAAGCTGAGACAGGAGCAGGCAGTGATGACCACAGGGAAGGTAGTGATGGTGACAGGCAGGGTCAGGAACAAGCAGAGACAAGAATAGGCAACACAGAAGGATACAGGCTGAGATGGAGAATGGGGCAGGCAATGAGCTCACAGAAAAGAGGCCCAGGACACAACAACCACATTTTCCCACACCAAACACATTGTCCCCCTGCCAAAAATAAATAAATAAATAAAATGTCCCATCTCATCCTGGGAAATTCTACTCAAATCCAGATAGAAAACTGAGGCCCCAAGAGGGCAAGAGATAATTCAAGGACACAGCAAAATGGGTATAAGACACACCAGGCTTGAAGATTCACACCTATAACCCCAGCAACCCGGGAGACTGAGGCAGGAGGATCTTAAGTTCAAGGCTGGCCTTGGCAACTTGGGCTAGGGATGTATTCAGTGGTAAGAGCACCTCTGGGGTGACACACACACACACACACACACACACACACACACACATGCATAAACCAAGCCAGGAAGTAGCTATATAGATCCATAATTTCATTAATCTTATGAGCATGAGAAGGTATGTCACACTTTGAGCATCACCTAAGTTCCAAGTCTGGCCCAAATTGACAGTCCCAACAAGTCCCATCAAACTGCACCTGAGCTGTGCCACACAGGTGGCCTGGAACAGGGATAGCTCAGACTCTGCCATGGTCAAGGGGCACATGGTTCTCTGCCAACTCAGCCCTAGAGCTTGTACTCACCTCCACCATGGCCTCTGTCATTGTCACGGTTATTTACCCAGAAACTGACCCCTGTGTKTCTGTGAGCATCTCAAGGACAGGAACCATTATCGATTCATTTTTGTTTCCTGTGTAGAGTCTGCCAGGATTTTTTTGGATAAACAGCGACTTCCCTGCAACAGGAGTCTTCAGGGAGACAGAAGGAACCTCCCACTGTAAAAGCCACAATGGCCAGATGCCTAATTCCAACCCTCTCCCCCAGCACATAATGCAGGCACACAGGGACCAGCCAGCCGGGTGCACCACCCATATTGTGGATCAAAAGCCACTGGCCCTTAGGTGCCAGGTAAGGGGAGACTCTGCTTCCAGGGAACATTTGGTTTTCAGGGCAGAGGAGAAAGAAGGGAGGGAATTCAGAGGAGCTGCCAAGCCCTGCTGGGCTGGTCCTGGGCTGGTCCTGGGCTGCTCCTGGGCTGGGGTCCGGGCTACTCCCATCCTCCCATGATCCATCCAGCTCCCAAACCCAGGCTCTCCAGCCTTCCCAGAACTTCTGTAAGCTTCTCCAGAATCTTAAAAATGAATCCCTTTTCTGCTTAAATCCTCCGTAAATGGCTTCTATATGCTTACAACCAAGAACACCACATCCTATATGCCTAAAATAGAGGATGAAGAAACATGGTGCAGGCTAGAATACCCCAAGGATCACAGATGTAAAGGTAGCAACCTTTACAAGCAGTTTACTTACTATGTGCCTGGCACTGTGCTAGGGGCTTCAGAAGCTTTATCTCATTTAATCTTCATGATAAGCCTGTGTGATTGGTTTTATCATTCCCACAATCAACAGAAAACTCAGAGAGAGTAAGGAACTCACCCAGAGTCACACAGCAAGCAGCCAAGAACTCTAGTGCCAAACCTCAGACTCTACCTTTCTTGGTAATGCCAGCTCCCTCCACTACCACACCCACCCCATCCCTTCTGAGCTTCATACTCCCTCTTCTGACTTGCAGTTGCTGTGCCTAGGCAGCCCCCTCTGGTCTTTCCCACCCCAAATCCTCAGCCCTCTTGCTATCCTTCCAATTACTAATCTGACAGTCCTRCATGCAGTCTGGGCTCACCAAAACTCCATGCCCCAAAGCTAGAGCCCTCCCCGACTCGCAGGCCTCTAGCCAGCCTCTACTACAGCCTTGCTGGAGATCACAGGGGAGTTAGGGCCCACCTGTGTACTGAAGAAGACCCCACCCACATCGCCAAGAAGACCTACACACACCTTTGATTTCCATCTGCCAGTTCCACTTGAGCCTGGCATCACAGTCTGCCCCCAACTCTCACCAAAGTCGGTGTAGCCTGTTGGTCTCCAATCCTGAATCCCCTGGCGTGGTAAGAAGTGTCCTGGAGTGGGGCTGAGGACAGTCTCTGAGGTTCCCACTCAAAAAGAGCCTCTGACCTACCAAGCCCAATTTTGTTCCCATCTCCAGATCCCTGCCTGATCCTCCATCTCTTTGGCCTCCAGGCCCTGTGAGGTCACAGGCCTAACTGTAATGTCACCTTGTCCAGGAAGAAGCACAGGGGTAGGACTGTGACCTTCTAACCCAGGAGACTGACCAGATGCTTTGACCCAGATGAAAGACTCGGGCCTGAAATGACCTCAGTGACCCGAGGAGGATTGGGGGTGCTGGTGGAAGGGAGGGAGAGTGAGCCAGGGCTGGAGGGTGTGGGGTCCCGGGCTCCTGGTGCTTACTACCCATTGACTTTTTTCTTTCTTCTCTTAATTACAAAAGGATACATACTAGCAGTGAATTTTTCACAACAAAGAATATGCAAGCAAAAAAGTAGAAGCTCTCCCTGCTCCACACTTACCAGTGGTCAGTGTGTGCTGTTCAATGTTTATCCTTCCAGACATTTTTTTCTGTGAATCAACAAACAGGTAAATGGATTTGTGTGTGTGTGTGTGTGTGTGTGTGTGTGTGTGTGTCTGCCCACACACAATACGGTGATTAAACCCAACACCTCACACATGCTAGGCAATTGCTCTACCACTGAGCTACACTCTCAGCTCTTTTTTATTTTTATTTTGAGACAGGGTCTCACTAAATTGCCTAGGCTGGCCTAAAATTTGTAATCCTCCTGTCTCAGCCTCTCAAGTAGCTGGGATTAAAGGTATGTACCACCATGCTCCACAGGTAGATGGATTTTTAAAGTTTTGTTTTTATACAAACATGGGGTTATATAACATATATTATTCTGCTGCTTTTTCTATCCAATAATGGCCACCATTCATGTTGGGCACATACATATTTACCTCCTGCTTTTTCTTTTTTTCTTTTTTTTTTAAAGAGAGAGATAGATAGAGGGGGGGGGGGGAGAGAGAGAGAGAGAGAGAGAGAGAGAGAGAGAGAGAGAGAGAGAGAGAGTTTTTTAATATTTATTTTTTAGTTCTTGGCGGACACAACATCTTTGTTGGTATGTGGTGCTGAGGATCGAAGCCGGGCCGCACGCATGCCAGGCGAGCGCGCTACCGCTTGAGCCACATCCCCAGCCCTCCTGCTTTTTCTTGTCTGGGTGGTATTCCACAGCAAGGACATACCATGCTCTGTGGCAATTCCGCTGTGATCAGAAGTGGACTCCCATTTTTCTCTTTTCCACACAAGCCTGGACATGACCTCCCTACCGAGTCCATGTGCACAGTGGTTAAGAATATTAGTTCTTTTTTTATTTTTTTATAAATATTTTTAGCTGTACATGGACATGATATCTTTATTTTTTATTATTTAATGTGGTACTGAGAATCAAACCCAGTGCCCACACGTGCTAGGCAAGTGCTCTACCACTGAGCCACAACTCCAGTCCCAATATTAGCTCTTTAAACAGGCATCCCAGTGGTGGMGCATGCCTGTAATCCCAGCAGCTAAGAGACTGAGGCACAAGGATCACGAATGATTTCAAAGCCAGCCTCAGCAAAAGTGAGATGCTGAGCAGTCAATGAGACCCTGTGTCTAAATAAAATACAAAATAGGGCTGGGGATGTGGCTCAGTGGTTGAGTGTCCCTGAGTTCAATCTCCAGTACCAAAAAAAAAAAAAAAAAAAGAATATTAGCTTTGCTAGATTAATCCTAGCTGGGTGGCTTCAGCAAGTCACTTAACCTCTCTGGCTTCTTCCTTGTTTGTCAATATCTGCCTCACAGAGTCTTTTTTTTTTTTTTTTTTTTTTTTAAAGAGAGAGGGAGACAAAGAGAGAACTTTAATATTTATTTTTTAGTTTTCGGCGGACACAACATCTTTGTTTGTATGTGGTGCTGAGGATGGAACCGGGGCTGCACTCATGCCAGGCGAGCACACTACCGCTTGAGCCACATCCCCAGCCCCTGCCTCACAGAGTCTTTACAGGATTCCTTGATTAATTAATGAAAAGCCCTTAGGATATTGCCTGGCCCAAAACAGGTACTCGATACAAGTGGGTAGCTTAGTATTTTATATCACTCTGTGCCTAATGATGCAAATTTCTGCAAGACATCCTCCTAAAAGTGTTAAGTGGGGATGGGTATTCCAGGACCACCTTGGAAGATCAGAATTTGGGCAGCACTTGAGAAACATTCTGTTTTATTGCTTTATTCATTAACGCCTTTTTGGTTAGGGACCATCGACCTCATGCAATGCCAGCCCCCCACCCTCCATCCTATGCAATACCATGATAATTGCTCACAGCATTAGAACCATGTGCCAGCAATTGGGCAAAGAACTCGACCTGCTTTGCTTCATTCCATTAGCGCAGTGACCCTGAAGGCAAGAAAACTGATTCTTGAGTTGGGCACAGTGACGCAGCAGCCTGTAACCCCACTGACTGGGGAGGCTGAGGCAGGAAGATTGCAAGTTTGAGGCCAGCCTCAGCAACTTATCAAGATCCTTAGCAACTTAGCAAGACCATGTCTCAAAAAAATAAATAGGACTGGGGATGTGACTTAGTGACAGAAGTCCCCTAGGTTCAAATCCCAGTGCAAGAACAAAAAAAGAAAAAAAGAAAGAAAACTGATTCTCAGAGAAGAAGAGTAACTTGCTCAAGATCATAGGACCCAAAACTAAAATACACAGAAAGAGAATAGAAAGGTGATTATAGGGCCAGAGGTGAAAGGAAGAAGGGGCGGTGGGGGATCAAAGGGCATGAAGTTGCAGTTAGGTAGGATGATAATTCTAGAGATTAGTGGCCATCATGAAGACTATTGTTGAGAGTATTGTGGGGTATGCTGGAAATTTGCTGAGAGTAGATTTGCACCACACACATATGAAAGGTAACTATGTGAAAGGATGGGTATGTTAATTGCTTCACTACAGTAATGCTTCACTACACACACACACACACACACACACACACACACAGACACACAAAGCATTTTGTTGTATGCTTTAAACGTCTACATTTTTTTTTTTTAATCACAAGACCAAAGTTGAGGTTGCAGAGTTCCAAAGGAAAAGGAGAGAGAAAGGAAGAGCTGCCGGCCCTAACCAGGCATGGTACGCAGCCTATGATCTCAGTGATTTAGGAAGCTGGGGCAGGAGGATTGCAAGTTCAAAGTCAGACTCAGCAACTTAGTGAGGCCCTAAGCAACTCAGTGAGACCCTGTCTCAAAATAAAAAAAAAATAAAATGGGCTGGGTGTGGAGCTCAGTGGTTCAACCCCTGGGTTCAATTCTCAATACCAGAAAGAAGGAAAAAAAGAAGAGGGGCTGGGGATGTGGCTCAAGCGGTAGCGCGCTCGCCTGGCATGCGTGCGGCCCGGGTTCGATCCTCAGCACCACATACCAACAAAGATGTTGTGTCCGCCGAGAACTAAAAAATAAATATTAAAAAGAAGAAGAAGAAGAAGAAGAAGAAGACATCTTGCTGGATGTTGCTGAAATCGAAAGTGGTGCAAACAGGCCTCTCGCTATCAGGGTAGGGTCTGGGGAGCAGAGTAGAGGCCAGGTAGAGGCTTGCTAACAGAGGGAGGCAATGGAACCGCAGCCAAAGCCCACTTCCTCCCTGAAAAACCTCAAAAACTTCAACCCATG